ATTAACGAGTGGTTTGAACTCCCTGATCACGGGAAGAACCTGAAATTGAACGCTGCTTCTTCTGCGTTGCCCAATATTTTGAGCCGCACACACCGAGGAGCCTAAATAAAACAAGCGTTGCTTCTTGTTAGGCTTTTTCACATGTTGACATGATTTTATTCTCTGTTGATTTCATTTGTCATATTACATACACAACGAGTGTTATTTTACAAAGCCTGTTTTTATTTAATATGTACCTGATTAATTGTATTACTAATACTACGGCTAGGTTGCATATTTTAACATTGAGATATTATAATGAATTTTATAACATAATTAAATGAGTATAATAAGCTTCACAGAATAATAATTTCGAAACGGAAATTTTCAGTTCAAATTTACATATTTTTAGAAAATGACGCCATATTAATTGGGGCCACTTTGTGCATAACTGCTAAAAATACAAACAACGTTCCTGATTGGTTAAGACTCATTGCGCTACTTTAATTCTATACACACATTCTTAATATAATGTTCGTGCGTACTATCAATTATGGAGTATAAGTTGTTAGGAAATTATTGAATTTTCTATGAATTTCGTCCAAAATTAATGGTTCTTTGACTATGTCGTTTTCTATTTAAATGTAGATGGCAAATCGACATTCGAAGAAAATTAGGACTACTGTACTTTATTATTAACGGTATATAGACTAAGGCTTCAAATTAAATCTGGAAAATTATCAGAAAAAAATTATGCACAGGCTATCATTATGACAATAATAATCGTGCATAGTAGTTATTATAGTAGTTTAATAAAAAAAAAAATATACCAGATGACGCCATAATAATTGGGGCCTACTACGCATTGCCTGACTTTAATTAATTGTATCACACATTCTTAATATAATTATTGAGAAAATGAAGAGGAGATCGTAACACTTTTTTCAAGTCAGGCTTGCCGTACCACATTAGGCCCCATGTATGTTATAACATGTTTCTATTTGAGAACAATTAGGGCCTAGCCATATTATATATACATATATATATATATATACATACTGTACATATATATCTCAAGATAGCCGTTAACACTGTTAATAATTATATACATAGATATTAAGTCAAATAGAAAATAAGTATTTTAAAGTAGCTTTAAAATTTTCTCCTATTACGTGTGAGCTCGCAAGTTGTATGAAGGGTGAGAGACTAGTGGTCTGAGATATGTAATGATATCGTACGGGCCTTGGATTCGATTCCTATTAAAGAACTCTTTTTCTCATACAACTATAATAAGGAACTTTCGTGACGTGATCAAAAAGATTATGAACTATGTTTGAGACGATTTTAACATGTTCCTATATATTTGAGCATTGTATTATTATCTATTTAATGTATGCATTATATATATATATATTATCAGTGGCGTATTGGAGTAGAAATTATAGGGTATTAATTTCCAGGCCCCGGGGGGGTGTAGCGTTACTTATTATACAACAGGGGCAGTTTTGCAGATTTTCACACCATATAGACTGTGGGTGATTTAGGTTTTTGAAAGTATTATACTTAATAAAAAATTTATGTCTATTGTTAACACTACCATTTTGTAAAAACATATCTAGAAATTCGTTGACCTGATGTTGATATCATAGTGGCCACAATGTTCGAAATTATATATATATATAATCATATAAGCCTATATGACTTACAAACACATGTACATATGTAAGCTGAGATAACTATATTATACAATTTTATATATTTTTCTCAAATTTAAGCTTTATTATACGTGCACCTAGGACTGAAACAGTAAACTACTTTACATCCCGTCAACAACAGAAGCTGATGTATCTAGACTGAATTAACGAGTGGTTTGAACTCCCTGATCACGGGAAGAACCTAAAATTGAACGCTGCTTCTTCTGCGTTGCCCAATATGTGAGAAGCACACACCGAGGAGCCTAAATAAAACAAGCGTTGCTTCTTGTTAGGCTTTCACTTGTTGACATGATTTTATTCTCTGTTGATTTCATTTGTCATATTACATACACAACGAGTGTTATTTTACAAAGCCTGTTTTTATTTAATATGTACCTGATTAATTGTATTACTAATACTACGGCAATGTTGCATATTTTAACATTGAGATATTATAATGAATTTGATAACATAATTAAATGAATATAATAAGCTTCACAGAATAATAATTTCGAAACGGAAATTTTCAGTTCAAATTTACATATTTTTAGAAAATGACGCCATAATAATTGGGGCCTACTTTGTGCATAACTGCTAAAAATACAAACAACTTTCCTGATTTGTTAAGACTCATTGCGCTACTTTAATTAATTCTATACACACATTCTTAATATAATGTTCGTGCGTACTATCAATTATGGAGTATAAGTTGTAAGGAAATTATTGGATTTTCTATGAATTTAGTTCAAAATTAATGGTAATTCTTTGACTATGTCGTTTTCTATTTAAATGTAGATGGCAAATCGAGATTCGAAGAAAATTAGGATAGTACTTTATTATTAACGGTATATAGACACTAAGGCTTCATATTAAATCTGGAAAACTATCAGAAAAAAATTATGCACAGGCTATCATTATGACAATAATAATCATGCATAATAGTTGTTATAGTAGTTTAATAAAAAAAAATATACAAGATGACGCCATAATAATTGGGGCCTACTACGCATTGCCTGACTTTAATTAATTGTATCACACATTCTTAATATAATTATTGAGAAAATGAAGACGAGATCGTAACACTTTTTCCCACCTGTGACATATAGTATAAAAATAGTAATAACTAATCATAACTAAGTAAATAGATAAACAGACAGACAGACAGACCGACAGACAGACCGACAGACAGATAGATAAATAGATAGATAGGCAGATAGACACACCGACAGATAGACAGACAGACAACGATTGAAGGCAGGCAATCGAATTTTTGCTCAGGAAATATCCCATGGTACATCCTTTTGGTTTGGTCATTCATTCATCCATTTAACTATTCATTCCTCTATCCTTTAAATCATTCCTCCAGATTGTATAAATAAAATAAAAGAGGCTGGTGGTAGTAGATTTGCCTCAAAATTTATTGAGAAAATGAAGACGAGATCGTAACACTTTTTTCAAGTCAGGCTTGCCGTACTACATTAGGCCCCATGTATGTTATAACATGTTTCTATTTGAGAACAATTAGGGCCTAGCCATATTATATATA